TCCATTTCTGTAACAGATACATATTAATTCAAGCCATCCACCGTGACCTAAAGATCTTTTTTTTTTTTTTTTGCTGTGACTACTTTCTAAAGTATCAATATGGCTACTAGATTAGAATGTCTCACCGAACATAAAGATGGGGAAAATCATTCTCCATAAGAAGCTCATAAATGTTACATGAAGGTTTCTAATCAGCCACCCTGGGAAATTAGACAGCATTTAGTCTACCTAATTAGCACTCAAGCACTCATGTTTTAGGAGAGTTTTGAAGGAAAAGAAAATAAATGCTGGTATTGGTTACATGTATTCATTACTGGTACAGACCAATCACAAGCAAGTTTATTTAGGGGTTAGGTCAATAATACAGTGACCATAATAGTAGTGGATAAACTTGCGGATAATTTTGGGTGTGTAAAAATTACATGATATATTTTGTATATCAGGTTTAACCAATTATTTTAATCCAAAATAGCCTTTCAGAATAATACATTATAAGGCAGTATTTTTATTCAACTAAGAAACACCTTATTATAGTTTTCCAATATCAAGGATCACTGAAGGGAAGAAAAATCTTGCATTCACTCGCTTAGAAAAATCAGTGTGGTTGCTTGATTTTTTTAAAAAAAATAAGATTAGTCCTTTATGCATAAAATACATATTATATTAAAAATAGCTAAACAGAACACTAAGTTAGTATAGCTTTTATAAATTCTACTATAGAGAAGGCATATATTCGAAGTATAACATTGCAGTTCTGTAAAAAAAACCTATTTGTTCTTTTCAGATTTTCTGAATATTAAAAATCTTTATGTGCCTCCTTTTGCTATTACAAACAAATAACCCTGAAATTGGTGTTCATTTAATGTATCTAATCTACTAATATTATGAAGTCATCTAACACATAATGTTTCTGTGACAGTATGAAGAGGTAATCGCCCCCATTCAATCAATTTAATTAAAGACATAATTAGGACTAATTGTATGAGTTCCTAATTTAAAGAAATCAGATTTGTATCCTGTAAACTTTGATTCCCCTCTTCATAGGGGTATTCTTACCATACAGTCTAACAGTAAATTCCATTCTTAGAAGAAATCTCCAAAAAATTCTGTAAAAAAAATAAGAGATATCTTTTAAAAGATGCCTATCAGTCTAGAAAACAGTTGCAAAACCGTTTTCAAAACACCAGGGTCTCCACCAATGAAAATCAGAGATACAGTCTTGAAAAGCAAAAGATTTGAGATGGGGCGTTGTCTTACCTGAATGCCTTTTCTCAGCATGATGATGTAGCATCCACCGGCGGGTAATCTCAGCCTTCCTGCTCAGTTGAGACTAAGTCAGAACTTTAGCCACGCCTCCCTTGGGCGGTGCCTTCCCAGTTTTGACGAGGTGAAGTATCCATGACGAAGTTTGACGCAATGGCTCCTCCTACAATTACACCTGTCTAGACTATCAGTAAGGGATGGTGTGGATGCTACATCATCATGCTGAGAAAGGCGTTCAGGTAAGACAACGCACCTTCTCCAGCATGATGAATGTAGCATCCACCGGTGGGACATACCAAAGCCTCCATGTCCTACGGGGGGAAGTCTAGGCATGTGTCCCTGCGAGGAAACAACCTGCTGCAAAACCCTTCTACCAAATGAGGCATCTGCCGCAGCGAACTTATCAAGTTTGTAATGCCTTAAAAGGAAGAGGGAGAAGACCAAGTCGCTGCCCTACAGATCTCCTCAACAGAAGCCTGGGTAGACCAGGCCACTAATGTGGCCGCGCTACGTGTAGAATGAGCGGTAATGTTTGCAGGTACCGGGAGAGACTGGGGTCTATAGGTGTGAGCAATGCATGCTCTGATCCCTCTTCCAATGGTTGAAGATGACACCTTCTTACCCATGGAAGAGAGCTGGAAAGACACAAACAGGGCCTCCGACTTGCGAAAAGCAGCAGTCCACTTAACATAATGGTGCAGAGCCCTGCACACGTCCAATTTATGCCACAGCCTCTCCAGACGATGTGACGGGTTAGGACAAAAGTCTGGAAGAATAAAATCTTGGGACCTATGGAACCAGGTATTGACTTTCGGAATGAAAGAAGGGTCCAATCTAAGGACCACTCTGCCATCCAGAATCATACACAGGTCACTTCTGACCAAGAGCACGGCCAGTTCCGAAATATGTCTTGCCAACGTGATGGCTACCAGAAAGGCAACCTTCAGAGAAAGGAAGTAAAGTGAGCAAGACCGGATGGGTTCGAATGGTGATGTCATGAGGGCTGGTAACACCTTTGGTAAGTCCCATGAGGGATAGCGATGCACCGTAAGAGGCTTAGTGTTAACTACCCCTTTTAGAAAGGAGCCAACTGTAGGATGCTGTGATAATGGGACTAAATTGTCGCACGTGAGGACTGTTGATAAGGCCGCAACCTATCTGCGGATGTACTGTGCGATAGACCCTTATTCAGGCCCTCCAAGTGATAGTCTAATATGTCAGGAATGGTGACCGCCAACGGTCCAAGGTTCTGTTTAATACACCACGTGAAGAAGTTTCTCCACGTGGCATCATAAATCCTATTGGTCAAGGGGCGCCTTGAGGCTTGGATTATCGAGATCACCCCAGACGAATAGGACTGCCTGGCTAAACTCTCCTGTTCAAGTGCCAAGCAGCTAGTTGAACGCACTTGGGGTCTGGGTGTTGAAGTCTCTCCTGAGAGAGATGCAACCCGGCGGAATCCTCCACGGTGGGGAGAGTGACAAATCCACGAGGTCGGCAAACCACGGTCACCTTGGCCAGTGTGAGACAACTAAGATTACTTCCGCTCGTTCTTGAAGAAGCTTGCGGATGGTCGCTGGTATCAGGGGGAGAGGAGGAAAAGCATAAAGGAGTCCCCTGGGCCATTTGCTGCGGAGGGCATCCATTCCCTCCACCCCCGGTGAGGGGAACTTTGTGAAGTATCTGGGTAGTTGGGAGTTTGTCGGGAGGCAAACAAATCCACTTGTAGTTGTCCGAATCTGGCCGAGATTTCCCTGAACAGGGCCAGGTCCAGGCGCCACTCCAAGTGGTTGACCATAACCCTGCTCAGTGAGTTGGCTTGACGATTCACTTCCCCAGATATGTGCTCTGCATTGTTAGATTCCAGGTTGGACTCTGCCCACAGACCCAGGTCCAAGTCCTCCAGCATGAGAGACCACGACCGGGTCCCTCCTTGTTTGTTGACATGGGCCTGGCTGCTATGTTCTCCGTCAGTATTAGAACGTGCTTTCCCACCATAAGGACAGAGAATTGACGGAGTGCCAAATAGATTGCTCTGATTCTAGCCAATTTATGTTGTGCGATAAATCTGACTGGGACCATTGATCCTGTGCCATGTGAGTCTGTAGGTGGGCGCCCCAGCCGAACAGGCTGGTGTCTGTAGTCAAAGTGAGCCTGGGAGGCTCCTTGAATAGGGATCCCTGTTCATTGCTGACGACGTCCACCACAGAAGTGACAACAGTGTGGTGTGGGACTTTCACCTTCCTCGTGGAAGCACTCACGTTCCGTTTCTGGAAGGGAAGGAGGAACCACTGGAGAGCTCTCGAATGTAGTCTGGCCCAAGGAATGATTCCCAGACAGGAGACCATCTTCCCCAACAGCTGAGACAGCTGAACCAATGGAACCACCTTTTCTCTCCAGATCTTGTGGACAAGTGACCTGATACTGTTTTTGTGCTCCTGGGAGAGGTAAACCTTGCAAAGATTTGAGTCTATTATTGCTCCTAGGTGAAGGAGGCGAGTTAAAGGGGTTGTGTGACTCTTCTTGAAATTCACGGAAAATCCGTGCTCCTGAAAAGTATTGATTGTGAGTTGAAGGTCTGATTGGGCGGAACAGAAAGAACTGGATTGGATAATTATATCCTATAACATTGTACGCGCACCAGAATTAACCTGAGATGGGCTGCTAAGACTGCCAATAACTTTTTGAATACCCGAGGGGCCAAAGAAAGCCCAAAGGATAGAGCCCTGTACTGATAATGCCAGTACGCGTAACAAAACCGGAGGAATCTGCGGTGTTGTGGGAGGATGGGGATGTGGAGGTATGCCTCTGTCAGGTCTATGGAGGAGAGGAAATCCCCTTTTCTGATACTGGCCAGAATGGATTTGAGAGACTGCATCTTGAACCTCCTGTAGGTTAGGAAGTAATTGAGTCCCTTTAAATCCAATATGGCCCTCCAACCTCCCGAGGCCTTGGGGACCACGAACAGAATGGAGTAAAACCCCCGTCCTTTCTGTTCCAGAGGTACTGGTTCTATGGCCTCTATCTCTAACAGATGGGATATGGCCGTGGATACCAACTCGGCCTTGTTTGTGTTTCTTGAGGTGGGACACTGTATAAAGCGGTCTGGAGGGATGGATATAAATTCCAGGGCGAGACTGTATCTTATGCTCTCCCTTACCCAAGAGTCGTTGGTGGTGACCTCCCAAATGTTGCTGAACAGCGCTAAGTGACCGCCTATAGGAGGGTCTACTTTGGCGTCACTTGGACCACCTGTAAGAGTGGCCCCCGGACCCTCAAAAGGGATGCTTGGACTGGAATTGACCCCTGGTTCCAGGATTCTGGCGGTCCTGCTGTCGATCCTGTCTGGGTAAAAAGGATTGAGAACCTCTGGGCCATTCCCAGGACTGCCCGGCCCGAAAGGGTTGCCTCCACTCCCAGGAACCTCCGGCACAAAAGGACTGCCTGTGGAATTCCTGCTGGGGTCTTTTATCTGACCTCTTAGAAGGGTGCACAAGAATTTTGTGCTTGTCCTTCCCATCTATACGGTATGGTTCTAGAACAGGACCATTGTACATATCTGTCGATAGGCGCCACTTGGATTTTAAGTCTTCCCTCCACTGTTTCAACCACAGCAGCCTGCGGGATGAGACAGTGGCCGCAATGGATCTGGTGGAGTACCTGGCAGAGTAGAGAGATGCATCTGCCATAAATTCCAACGCAGCAACTAATTTTCCCAATGTCTGGTGTGTACGCACCTGGTCAGACGGAATCAGGGACTGTAGTTCGCCAAGCCACATAATGGACGCCCTTGCGAAAAAGGACAAAGACGTTGCCACCTTGATCGCCCATGCTGAGGCCTGGTGCGCTCTGCGGAGAGAAAACTCAAACTTCTTGTCCTCCGTCTTTAGGGCTTCAGCCATATCTCCCGGAATTGTGGATGTGGAGAACAACGAAGTGAGAGGAGTATCTACGGTAGGCACCTCTAGGAGGGAAGCAAATGAAGAGGAAACATTAAAGAGTTTCTTTTCCGTACTATTGGGAGAAGGCAAAGTGGCCAATGAGGATCACTGTTTCTCCACAGTGGTGCGGAAGACACTTGGGCAAGGAATTTGTTTCTCCTCCACTACTTGCTCTGCAAACAAGGGATTAGACTCTTGTGCAGTGGAGGTAGATGGTTTACGCTCCTTTTTTAACAGCCAATTTGGCCGTAGTACAGGCCTTTATAAGCAATGATCTGAACAGGGAAGGATCAAAGAGACCTGATGTCGGAGCCGGATCCAGCGCCGCCTCCTCATCCTATGACATAGGCATGTCTGCTGTCTCCAGGTTCATGGACTCCTCTTCCCCTAACTGAGAGGATGTCTCAGAATTACCAGAGCCGGTTAACAGGGCACGCCCTGTTTGAGGTAAAGGTATAGGCGGAGGTGGTGGTACCTGTGGAGACCTTTGACCCATGGAGGAGGCCATGAACTGCCCAAATGCATGGTAGATGGACGCCTGGAATGGCTCTGACCATATGTCCTGTTGGTCTGTATAACGAACTCCAGCTGCAGTGGGAGTGTATGTGGCTTCAGGGGCTTGTTGTGTGATGGAAAAAGAGGAAGGAGGAGGAGGAGGAGGGGGACCAACCTGTTCAGTTTCCCCCTGAGGAGACCATGCCCTAGGGGCATCATGAGAAGGCGCGAATTGAGGCGCGAAGGGGGATGGGTCCAGTGAGATGGGGGGAACCACTTCAGCCTCACTGGATATGAGCCTTTGATCTCTGGAGAACTCCTTCTCCAGCGCCTGATGTCTTCTCAAGGCCTCTCGCTCAGCTGCTTTGGAGGGCTCCTTGGTGGATATGTTCTTTTTCTTGGCCTTTTTTTTTTCCCCCGTGTCGAAATCAGAAGATCTGTGCTTTTTGGGTGGGGGGGGGAACGTCAGAGCCCTGTGATGTCTGAGGAGTTGCACTGTCTGCTATCACACACTAGATATTCTGGGTAGGAGATGTCCAGGAAGGGGGGAAAACAACACGCAGACCTGGTTTTCAGAGAGGGAAGTTCCCGCGCTCTGATCAACCATGATGGCAAACAGCCAGACAGTTCGCTAGAACTGCCTGTCTAGGCCCTGCTGGCACAGTGCCGCGAACAAATAAGAACAGGTGGATTCTAAATTAATTCCCCCTTGGAAGACAATACAGAAAGAATAGGTGCGATCACTTAGTGAAATCCAAAATGGCGGTCGCACCCCCCTTTGTCTGAATAGGAGAGGAATGAGTAAAGGAGTGCTGGAATCCCCCTTGAAAGCCCGGCACAGCAGGCCAAATTCAGCTGGGATCAGGCCCGATTGTACCACTATAGCACACGAGCCTTCAAAATGGTGACCACACCTGTTGTTGCAATCCAAAACGGCGGCTGTGAGCCTCCTCATCTCCCAAAATGGCAACGCCTGAGGAAGAACACCACCAATCTATACAGACCGTCCGGACTGAGAAAGGTGTGAGGGAAATTAGCTCACTAACGCCTTTTCTCCCTTTAGTTAGAAAGCCCAGACAACTTGCATTTAAGTCGTGCAGCCTCCGCTGCGATCTGGATCAGTGTTTACACCGGCAGATGCATTATACCTCATGGCCACGAGGTTGGAAAAATGAAACTAAAGCCTAACACCTAAATCCAATTTACTTCCAATAATCCTGAAATATATCTATTTTAACTAGCCTAACTGAGGAGCCAAACAAATTGCGTCCAACTGAGCTGAGACTAAGTCAAAAACTGGGAAGGCACCGCCCAAGGGAGGCGTGGCTAAAGTTCTGACTTAGTCTCAACTGACCAGGAAGGCTGAGATTACCTACCAGTGGATGCTACATTCATCATGCTGGAGAAGATTGTTGATCTTCTCATCCAAACAGTGACTGTTCTGTGAAAAATACTTTAGAAGTATACAATAATCCAGGAAGTTATAAAGAACCTCAAAACACAATTCAGGGACTTGTGGCTTTCTCACCTTGTCTAAAGTCAACATTCATGAAAAATAAAAGCAAAAAAGCACTGGGTAAGTATGCCAAGGTCCAAATCTAATTATGTCCAAGACAGGGGAAAGTATCATTTCCTTATAGAAGCTCCAGTGCTTTAACAGCTGGTTTTATCATAATATCAACCCTGAATGAATTTCTAATTTCAGTGATGCCTTTCGTCTATAAATCTACTACATTCCTACACTAGACAGAAGGAAAGCTATGATCCAGCCTATGGTGGTACTTGTTTTTCCCCCTGGGACTGCAAATTCATTGTATGAAACTTTTCAGTTCACCAAAACGATATAAAATTGTATTAGTTCTCCTGATTATTTATTGTTATTGTTGTTTTTAAATGAACTCAGTAAATTAGAAACAGAAACATATTATTTAAATAAATAAAATCTAGAGGCTTAATTAGTGGATTATAGCAGAAAATCAAATAAAATTGAAATGTAAATGAATCTTTTTCCTGCCAGCTCATAGCCAATTTCTTTTTAGCTGTGACTATTTCTAAAAGAATACACATTATCACTGGTACATTGAGAAACCAAGAAAATAATGGTGGGAGAGAGTCATTCCCCGTGTCAATGTCTAATCTACTTTTTAAATGAGTATAATTTTAATATCTCCGTATACACAATGAATGGCAGAAAACTGTTTTATAAATGCCCTTTTGACAGACTTCTCAAATAATACTGTACTTATGATTTTGCTTTGGATGGGTAAATCTGAGGATTAACATGAAGTTAATTGATCTCAAATTTTTGCCACAGCTGAATAGATCTGATAACTAACACTAGAATAAGTTTGAAGCTAATTAAGACTGAACTGCAGTAAATAATTAGAGGGAGTGCAACCTATATGTCCCATTCCGAGATTACTGAGCTACAGTTTATTTATAAGCAAATACAATGCAGCATTAAAGAAAAGATAGAAAACAGATGCAAGTTGGTAAGAAAAGGCAAGGCAGTCTCTAACAGACACAATTGAACAGAAGAAAAAAAGCAATATAAGTTTGCTGAAGTCTTCCTTGTCACCTCGAAAACCATTAGATTCTACGCAGCTGTTATCAAATGGTAAAACTCCAGGCTCTGATGACTATTAAACTACTATAACAGTATAAGCTATTTGCCAGTTTGTTAGATTCTACATTTTGGATGTGTATTACGAATCTTTTAAGGATGCTAAATTGCCATCATTTTATGAGTCATAATAAGTTTAGTTTTCAAACCAGGTAAAGATTCTACATTTTGTGCTAGTTATAGGTCTAGTTTATTAATTAATGTTCATATTAAAATATTAACTATTATAATGGCTAAGTAGCAGCTGAAGGTTTTATCATATATATTTCAACTCTTTCACTCATCAAAAGTTGTCAGGCATCAGACAATGTAAGATTATTGACTGATTTATTAGATATAGCCAAGGAGATAATGGACTCTGCTGTACTGGTATCTTTAGATGCAGGAAAAGCATTTCATTTTGATTATTTTTTTAAAGCAAGTAATCATTATATCTGTTGAGTCCTTGGCAGAAAGCAGACACGAGAAGCAGTTGGAGTTCTCAGTTTTCTTTATTCTGCGTTCAGCTTACAAGTAGATGGCTTCAGCAGCTCCCAAAACCTCCCAGCTTCTTATATAGACATTTCCCGGGTAAATGCGATACTTTTCCCGCGCCAGCACCCACGCATGCGCACGGCGCTGGCGACAGCCTGTCTGGTCCCGGGCAGCTTTGCACCTGCCCGGGACTCCCTTCAAACGCCCAAGCCGTTTGCAAGGCTCGGGACATAACACCCCTTTCCCCCGGGCTAAAACTATTACCAACATATAATCATTTACTCTATACAATGTTCTGTTCCCCAGTGCTCCCACTGTTTGCTGGCTTTTGCCTTGCCAGCAATGTTATATAATCCTTTAGGTACTTAGGAGATTTCTTTGCTCTCTGTGACCTTCTCAGCTCTGGGTTACTAGCATGAGTTCCCTGACTGGAGGGAGATGTGAGCCTGTTCTCCTTATTTTGCCTTGGTGCCTTCCAAGGACTGTGCCCCGATGCCTGGCCTGCTTGCTCGCCCACCGGGCTCGTCAGGCCAGGGCTTCTGTCACTTTGTGACCTGGTTGACCTGCCTAGCTGTAGACCCTCGGGCCCCTTGAAGTGATAGCCACTGCTGGGCGTCTCTGTTGAACCTCCTAGGTCCGTCCAAGACCTGTCAGGAGGCTGTCCATTCCCTGAACCCCGTTCTGTGTCCGGGCTTGTGTGGGTTTCTGTACTTTCCCAAAACTCAGTTACTCCCTGATTTGGGCTAGAGGTGTTGTAGTCGGGACTTGGTTCCTCGACCACCTCCCTGTATGTTTGACCCCCTGTAGGATTTGGGGTAAGGTCAGGCCAACCTTGGGGATTGTGTGCCAGCTCTCTTGCGGGAAATGATTTGTTGGGATGCCCCCGGGTATCCTCCGTGACTGGAGTGCTGTGTGATGTGTGTGGAAAGTGAGTATGCCCCCGGGGTGACTCCCTGGCTGGAGTAGGCGTGGATGCCTGGTAGTTGGGTAGGCTCATAGAATTCTTGTTCGGAGCTCTCGCGGAACCCTGGGATGGGCCATTTGTGGCTCCATCAGTGGAGATGGGCAGCAGCTCGTGCCCTTCCCTTTGCTCCAAAGGGTCCCCCTCCCCCCCTGGAAAAGACCCAGGAGTCTCATCTGAAAGTCCCGCCTAGGGCGGAGTTGGTCGATGTGCCGACGCAGGACACGACCGTTGTCCAGGGCTACCTCGTAGGAGAGAGGACCTGTGACCCTGGAAATAGAAGCGGGGACCCATGTATGACCAGGCCCGTAATTGCGAGCCCAAACCGGGGCACCCACAAGTAGTTGTCTAGGTGCCCTAGGATGTGAGGTAGATGAAGGCAGTCTGTCCGGATGCAACCGGTCAAGTTTAGTAGTAAGTTGACGCCCCCAACGAAGTTCAGCTGGGCTTCTCCCTGTAGAAGTGGACAG